GCAACTGGGAAGGAAATGAATGAACCACCGTTAGGAAACCTCCCTTGGCCCAAGTCTTCCTCTTCTAGCCTGTGACTAACCCTGCCACTCCTGCCTTGGTGGGTGGAGTCACCTTTATCTGGTAAACCAGCTTCCCCGTTCTTCTTTCAAAGAGCTGGATCTCAGAATAAGTACCCTCACCATATTAACCCAAGACCATCCCTTAAGATGTTCTTCTCAAAGATGGTGTTTTTGCTAGGTTGCTGGGGTGTCCTCTTGTGGTTTTTTGAGGTGTGGTAGGTAGGTAGCTGTGTCCTGCCGTGACGCTGGGGGAGCTGAGTCATGAGCAGTTAGGAAAAATTACCACATAAGATGGCTTCTGCTGCAGAAGCCTCTTCCTCACACAGGCTCTCCTCATCTTTGCCTAAGTGTGACCCAACCCTAAAGGCCAGCGTTGTAAAGGTCACTTGGGAGGATTAGATGTCTTGGGAGTCTTGGGAATCCTGCCCTTCTTCTCATTCCATCTTCTAGAAACCAGATCTCCCCACTCTCAAGCCGAATCTGAAGTTAAATTTAGCTGCCTGACCTTTCCATAACTGGGGTCCTGGGCTCCACTCTTCCATTCACAACCCCCTCTCCCTCTCTCCCATGCACATCTGTTGCTGCTCCTCCTAATTTGTTTGAAAATGAGCTAGGAGGAACCGTAGCTAACAAATTAGATCCCTGAAGTTAGGAGGTTGATAGGCAATTGCTTTCTCAGTCTCTTACCATTTGATAGGAGGGACCTGGAGAAGAGCTGAGCATACACTGTCCAGTTGATTTCTAACCTGAATTCCTGCCCTTTGAGCTTGGTGTTGCTGAGTGTACAAGTGTTTTCTCCCTAGAGGGTGTGACCTGAAGTTGGGCCAGGCAGGAACAAGCATTCCCTGGACGCTGATAGTGGGGGGGGTGGGGGTATGGATACCATGTGCTAGACAGCGTAGCAGCAACAGTGCTCTGCACAAACCTTCGAGCCTGATCACCTCCGAAGCGGAATACTAGCCTTCACTTTTATGGCTGTGCTATAATGCCAGGCTAGTCTGGCAGAGTTTCCTGCTATACATAAACTCAGATCATTTAGGATATTCAGTTGTGTGCCTTCTCTCAGTTCCAACTCATAGCTACCCTGTATTAGGGTTTCCGAGGCTGTAAATCTTTACAGGAGTAGAAAGCCTCATCTTTCTCCAGCAGAAAGGCTAGTGGTTTCGAACTGCTGACCTTGAGGTTCGCAGCCCAACTCGTAACCACTACGCTACCAGAGCTCTTTTAGGATGTTACAGAGATGGGAAAATGTTATATTCTATCCTTTTTAACTGGGTGAGTTGGCCTGGAGCTGTTTTCCTTCCCAGGGAAATTCTTTCTATTCCCTACTCTTATTTTTTCTCATCTCTTGTTAACTAACCCTCAGATTTGGCCGTATTGGGCGCCTGGTCACCAGGGCTGCTTTTAACTCTGGCAAAGTAGATGTTGTTGCCATCAACGACCCCTTCATTGACCTCAACTACATGGTAAGTGCTGCCCACGAAGCTGGTGGGAAGGGCAGAAACATGCTGAAGGGCGGCCCCTGATGCCCTCTTATTCCCTAGGTATATATGTTCCAGTATGATTCCACCCATGGCAAGTTCAATGGCACTGTCAAGGCTGAGAACGGGAAACTTATCATCAATGGGAAGCCCATCTCTATCTTCCAGGAGTAAGTGTGGAAATTGGGACAAGAAGAAATTTGTTTTGGGGAGAGACAAGGATATGGTGGATCACGTTGAATACATGGTACTTCACATCCCTGAACTTGGTTCTATTCCCTTCTGCTTTGTAGGCGAGATCCCGCCAACATCAAGTGGGGTGATGCTGGTGCTGAATATGTTGTAGAGTCCACCGGTGTCTTCACAACCTTGGAGAAGGCTGGGGTGAGTGATAGAGAAGTTAAGCCTGGAGGGGACTAACCCTGGGAATCCAGTGCAGTGGGAAGACTGGTAGAACCTGGGTTTGTAACTGTTCATTGTCCACAGGCTCACTTGAAGGGTGGTGCCAAAAGGGTAATCATCTCTGCCCCTTCTGCTGATGCCCCCATGTTTGTGATGGGCGTGAACCATGAGAAGTATGACAACTCGCTCAAGATTGTCAGGTGAGGAGTAGAGAAGAAATCAGAAGTGCAGTGTGCCACGAGGTGGACATGCCTTTTCTTAAATGTGCTTCCTCTTTACAGCAATGCCTCCTGCACCACCAACTGTTTGGCCCCCCTGGCCAAGGTCATCCATGATAATTTTGGCATTGTGGAGGGACTCATGGTAAGAAAGTGACCATAGCGCCTTCATTTCATGCCAAAGGTTCTTAGAACCAGGCTGTGGGACTCTGGAATTCCAAGGGATTGGCTTGGGTCACTCTCTCCTAATTTCTCCTAAAGGTTGTGGAGGCCTTGAAGCGGGGGATGGTATGATTGTTGAAGCCTCTGCAGGGCCTTTACTCCCTCTATTTTCTAGACCACAGTCCATGCCATCACTGCCACCCAGAAGACTGTGGATGGCCCCTCTGGGAAACTGTGGCGTGATGGCCGTGGGGCTGCCCAGAACATCATCCCTGCATCTACTGGTGCTGCCAAGGCTGTGGGCAAGGTCATCCCTGAACTGAATGGGTAAGATCCTCTGCTGTGCTTTACTGCCTTTGGGGAACTCTAAGGGAGAGCAGACAGCCAGGAGGTACAGGTGCTGACTCAGTTTCCCCGTCTCTACAGGAAACTCACTGGCATGGCCTTCCGTGTCCCCACTCCTAATGTGTCTGTTGTGGACCTGACCTGCCGCCTGGAGAAAGCTGTATGTTAGATTGGGTTTTGGTGGGCTGGGGCTTTGTGTCCCCGTGAAGCTGTGGTGAGATTGGAATGGGAATAGCCATTTCATTTTTACTGTATTAGGCCAAATACGATGACATCAAGAAGGTGGTGAAGCAGGCATCAGATGGACCCCTAAAAGGCATCCTGGGTTACACTGAAGACCAGGTACAGAGAGGACCTGAAGCTTAGTTCCCACATGGCCCCCATTAGCAAGATAGGGTTCCCACTCTTGGTTATTTTTTTTTTTCCAGGTCGTCTCTTGTGACTTTAACAGTGACACCCACTCTTCCACCTTTGATGCTGGGGCTGGCATTGCCCTCAACGACCACTTTGTCAAACTTATTTCCTGGTATGTGACTGGGCAGACAGGGGACTGTTTTTGAGAAAGTGTTTTTGAAAGTGTGGTGCCCTCTGGTGGCTAGCTCACAAAACTAGCCCTTACCTACTTCTGTTCTTCCAGGTATGACAATGAATTCGGCTATAGCAACAGGGTGGTGGATCTTATGGTCCACATGGCCTCCAAAGAATAAGAGCCCCTTGGACCACCAGCCCCAGCAACAGCACTAGAGGAAGAGAGAGGCCCTCAGCTGCTCTGGGAGTCCTTACCCCAACTGTAATAATCCCCCTATACACTGAGAAACTCCCATCCTGTTTCCATCCAGACCCCCTGGAGAAGGGGAGGGGCTCTAAAGAGCCCAGTCTTGTCATGTACCATCAATAAAGTACACTATCCAGCCATCTCTTTTGTCAATTTTATCTTATTCATGGCTTTATATTACAAGGGAAGCTGGGCTAAATAAAGGTGAAATAGATCTTGCTAAGGGAAACCAAGAGGGAATTGGTGTACCACCAGGCACAAATTAAGGTATATCTCTGTTATGTTTGCCCTTGGTACCCCGTGTCAGGGAGAAACTTCCTGGACAGAAAGCCAGCACAGCCAGGTTTAAGAAGTCAAAACCATTTTCTTCAAGAACTCCAAATCTAGACTCCTTGCTAGCAGTCAAGCTCCATGATTAATCATCTGATGAGCCCCTTTCTAGATGTCTACCCTGGAAGTTCCTAATAGTATTGAAAACCACTGGATCCCAAGTCAAGTGACCTTGACAGAAGATGAACTGATGTCAGGTTCACATTGTGCCTATTTGTGGGTGAAGCAGGGAATTGACCTAGATTCGAATCTTGGATCTGCCATATTTATTTTGAATCAGTTACTTGGTACATATATCCCTGTGCCTCACTGCCCATTTATAAGATGGAGATGATGGGAACAGTAGTGTAGAGGACCGTGTAGCCAATTACCAGCAAGTTCTTCAAACGAACAAAAACAAAGAGTGCTCAATAAATAATCATCAGTTTCATTATTATTAAAGATTCCATTCAAATGTCAGCACAGGAGATACTCATTCTCAACTTCTCTCCAATTTCTCCCAAGTCAGGGCCGTCCTCTTACTCAGCCTGTTGGTCTCACGTGTGATGCACATCTTCAGCTGATGAAGACCCCAAGAGCACACACACTGCATTTGTGCACACACACAAGTAGCTTCCCTGACTGGGAGCTGAGCAGGCACTTGGATCTCCCTCCAGGATGCTATACCCATCAGATCCATCAGCTACAGCTACAGGGCACCACCCAGAGGAAAGCTACAACCACACATTGAACAGGTGGGCAGTTGTGAGTGCTGTTTCCCTTTGCCTATAACAGGGAGGGAACCCTTTGAACTGCAGGTATTTCACAAGCCACAGAACTTCCAACTTAATTAATCCACTTCATAACCAGTGCCTGGGCCAGCTAGCACCAGTATGGAATCAAAGACAGCTGGCACTGGGTCACAGTTGGAAGGAAGATCCAACCCATTCCTTACACAGACAAGGGAAGAGGCTATGTTCCAGTCTGGCAGCGTTTTAAAAGATGGGAAAGTAGCAAAGACTCCCACACATGGAGTCCCACAGTGGTGGGAGTTACTTGGGAAGGGCAAGGCCAAGTCAAGCGCCAGACCCCCGAGCCCTGGAGAGGCCAGAGGAAGCCAGGAAAGGAGTGCCCAAGCCCTTGGGCCAGGCTTGGTACTGTGGGACACGTGCTAGTTCCCTTCTGTGAGGCCCCTCCCACCATCCCAGTATGTGGGGCCCCAGGGGGAGCCGAGGTAGCAGCAGGTTCCTATCTCACGGAGCTATCAGATGAGACATCCCGATCTGAGTCCTCAGCCTCGCTTGGCGGTGGTGGCGGTTCGCTAAGCGGGACCACAGTGAAAGCAGGAGACTTTCTAGAAAAAAAACACCAGTTGTCACCTTGGGGCAGGAGAAGAATCCTGTGCTCTTATTCTCTGGCAGGAAAATGAATGACTGGGAGACTATGGAGTAAGGAAGGGCAGAGGACAAGGAAGGTGGCAAGGGGTGAAAAGAATCCTCTCCTGCCCATGACCTCATCTCTTTCTTGGGGACTTAAGAGGTCAGAGGTCAGCTCTCTCTCCAGTCCTGGTCTGAGAGACACTACCTGTGTCGTGTGCACTGACACTGTCCCTGGATTTATCTCTTAGCTACATTACTGTGGTGACATTTTTGTTGTTCTCAAACTTTAGGTTGAGATATAACTTACACAGGGACAAATGCACCAATCACACCCTGGACTTCAGATAAAAATCTGCCCCACACCTTTTCTGTTCCTTGTCAGTTATAAGCTGCCTCCCAGAAGACCACCAGATTTGGTGGCATTTGGAGTTTCAGCTATCTAGCCATGGGTGTACAAATGTATCACCTAACTGTTGATCTGGGTTGGATGTAGCAGGGGACAGCCAACAGGGAGCCCCACATCAAGATGTGACCAAGCCATTGTCACAGGCTTTCCAGAGCTGGCCAGTCAGGGGCTCTGTTCCGTGCACCCCATATGCCCACCCTTACCGGTCTCCTGACTGGGTGATGAGCCTGCGGCAGGTCTCCATCTGCACGTCGAGGCCCCGCTTCATGCTGCACATCTCCATATACTCATGCAGGTGCCGGTTCATGTCGTTCTTGGCTGTGGCCAGCTCCAGCTGTGACGGGCGGCAGGGCCATTGGGTCAGCATGTTCCCCTGCTTCTGACACCAAGAGGCTACCACACTGGGAGTACCAGCTAGGCAGTGGTGCTCAGACAGCCATACTGGAGGGCTTGGGTTGACAAATCATGGATTGAGGCTGAAGGTACTGAACATGCTATCTTTCCCCTGAAAGTCCTGGGGATCTAGCTGGAGAGGAATGCAAGTGGTCTGCTACTGGCCTGCATTCCTGCGACAGAGCAATGAGCGCACTGAAGAAAGGATCTGTCGGCCGGAGGGAGAGGATCAGAATTCTTACCACAGAACACAGCTTTCCATTTGTGTCCTGGCTTGTTTCCCCCAGCAGGGTTCCTTCAGGGCTTAGCTCATCTGTGTGTGTGTGTGTGTGTGTGTGCGCGTGTGCGCGCGCAGTGAGTCAGTTCCAACCCATAATGACCATGTATAGAGTTTCCAAAAGCAGCTGATGAGATTGAGTTGTCAATCTTGCGGTTACCAGTCTAGTGCTTATCCTACAGTGCTACACTAAGGTTTGTTGTTAAGTGCTGTCAAGTCAGTTCTAACTCATAGCAACCCTGTAGAGGATTTCCAAGGAGGGATTGGTGAGTTTGAACCACCAACCTTGAAGCTCAAACTGACCTTACAATCCAGCACATTATCCCACAGTGCTACTCTAATGCTGTATCCAAGTCTGTCCCCTGTGAGTCCCTTTAAGGGTTAATTTCATGAATTTTGTGATGTATTCACCAGATTCATGGTACCATGGAGGAAACCCATCTGTACCAGTTAAAGGGACCAATTCGCTCACCATTCTCTCCTCAATACTTTATTGTTGGGGACTGAATGGTGTCCCCTCTCAAACTAAAAAGATGTTGAAGTCCTAACTAACCCTCAGTATCTGAATGTGACCTGTTTGGAAATAGGGTCTTTGAAATGTTATCAGTTAGAGCATGAGTATTGGAGTAGTATGGGTCCTAATTCAATATAAGTGGCATCCTCACAAAAGAGAAGAGACACAGAGGAGAAAACAGCCACGTGAAAATAGAAGTAGAGGTTGGAGAGATCTATAAGCCAAGCAATGCCACAGGTTACTGGATGTCACCAGAAACCAGGAGAAAGGCAATGAGCAGACTGTCCTTTAGAGACCTCCAGAAGAACCAACTCTGCTGACTCACAGCCTCTAGAATTACGATAAGTACACATTTCTGTTCTTAGAAGCCACCCCATTTGTGGTACTTTGTTATGGTAGCCCTAGAAAGCTAATACATTTATTTCCTCACCTATAAACCAACAACAACAAACCGTTTTCAGAAACAACAAGAAAGACTGCCATACTGAATGCTGGTTATAAAAAATCTCTCAATTTCAGAAGTGTTGTATGTGACCAAACAACGGGCTCAAAGTCTAGAATCAGGAGAGCCCGGTTCTGTAGCAGGCAGGCTATGAGGTCAAACTGAGAGGCCCAGACAAAGACAGTAAAAGATCTAGGCCACAGACAATCCACTGCCTTCCTTTGTTTGGGGTACAAAGGACAGGGGCCAGAAGGGGAAGCAGAATAAAATCATTTGAGGTGACCTGCTTGAATGCCTGAAAAAGAAAAAGGGTAGGAAACTATCCATGAGTAATCTGAAACTGAAAGAACAGAGAGAGGGCAGAAACCTAGAGAAAGAAGTAAACAAGTTGTAGGGCCAGACAAGTGAGATGGTCAGGATAGCAGTCTTTGGGATAAGGTGGTGTGTAGATGGTCAGAAGTCCTAGTGAGCATCAAACCGCAGGGTTGGCTAAACAACAACTGGGATGCAAGGAAAACAGAAGATGCTGGCTGTCCAATCTAGGAGGAAAATACAACATTATCAGTTCTTGTGCAGATCAGCTGCCACCTACACCCAACTTCTCTGACTCAGAAGAGCCAGAGTAGAGGGGACTGGATTCTGGAACCAGGGGGACAGGAAGAAAGCAATGAAGAAATGAAAGAAAAGGAAGAAATGAGTTCAGTTACCAGGCATCTCTACTCATTGGTCTGTAACCCCTTAACTCACATATTTAAAGCGAGGAAGAGGTGAGGTCATGACCATACAAATCTTTTTGTCATCTTCAACAAACTACGCTTTGTGACTGGTGGGGGTGGTGCGAGATGAGAACAGATGGGAAGAGGAAGGAGAAGGAGGGGAAGAAGCCCACCCACCACCACCTACTTGGTCATCTGATCAAGGGAAATGCCCTTGCTTTCATCTCAGTGATCCTAAGAGATCAAAGGCCACAAGGATGTAGGTTACTCATGTGTCACCATGCTCCTAACATTTCTCCTCGTATCACCGGAAAAGATCTTCAAAGACATGTTTCCAGTTAGGATTTTCTTTTGTTTTTGTTGTTGTTGTTCTTTTTCTTTCTGTCATGCTTTAACCTGGGTACTTTGGGTCCTGGGGATGACCCCAGTGGAGACAGCAGCCCAGATCACTACTCTAAGCACCCCACAAGATTGAAGGTACAGTGGAAATCTCAAACCTTGATTCCACCATCAGAAAGAGTCTGGGAGGAAGACGGGAGAGAGGGAACAGTGAGACAGGTACAAACAGGAGAGTGGAGAAGACCAGTTCTCCTTCCCCATCCCCTTAACTAGAAGAATAAATTTGGCTGTTGTCTTTAAACTTCTGCATTTGTCTGCCTGAGCAGAGAAAAAGCAGATTTTGATTAAAGGAACTGAATCATTCGATGTGTGTTGGAAGAGTAGGAAGATAGAAAGATAATTTTTAACTTCCCTCTCAAAATGCAGGCAAGTGTGAGAGCAATAGAGCATAAATATGACGCACGGGCCTAAAGAGAGGCTGAGGTTTACAGAAATTCATTTGCCTCCTCCCCAGGTCAGTGTGCATCGGAAAAGGACAAGGTCAGGGGCAGGCAGGTCTCACAAGGAATCATGGCTAACTCCTCCCACAGCTCACTTCTTGCAATCCCTGAAGGTGTAACGTTGAAGTTAAAAGGAAAGCAGCAACTTCACTAGCCATCTCCAGAAGATTCCTCAAGGCTAGCAGATAAGAACGGGAATTCCTCCATGAGCTGAAGGAACAGGAACACTCAGGCCCACCTCAGCACTGTAACTCGGGCAGTATTATGAATAAGAAAACTACCATCATGGCATACTTAGTATGAGCCAGCCACTGCCCTAGAATTTTTATGAGCATTATTTCACCACATCTTCACAACAACCCTAGAAGGGCGTATTATCTAACATTTTGATTTTGAAACACGCTAATAAAATAAGTAACATCAAAATTCCAGATGAGACTCCTGGTGTGCTCCTGTAGGATTAGCACTGGACTGTGAACCACAAGGTCAGCAGCTCAAACACACCAGCTGCTCCTTGAGATAGAACCAACTCCATGGCACTTTAACAAGAACAGTGTGTAAGTGGCTGAGCTCCAAAGCCTGAGATGTTACGAACCCACTATAGCTGTGGGAGGAGCACTGGTGGCACAGTGGGTCTAGTGGTGGACTACTCATCATAAAGTCAGCAGTGCAAACTCATAGATGCTCCAATGAAGAGAAATGAAACTGTCTGCTTCCGTAAAGACTGGCAGTCTCGGAAACCTTAGGGAACAGATCTACACTGTCCTGCAGGGCCACTACAAGTTGGAATTGACTCAAAGGCAGTGGGTTTGGGTTTTTTATAGGTATGAGTTACACCTCAACATAAAGAAAACAAAATCCCTCACAGATGGACCAATAAGAGCATTATGATAAATTCCGAGAAGATGGAAATGGTTAAAGACTTCATTTTACTTGGATCCACAATCAACACCCATGGAAGCAGCAGTTAAAAATTCAAACCATGTACTGCATTGAGCAAATCTGTTATAAAAGACCTCTTCAAGGTGTTAAAAACAGAAGTGTCACTTTGAGAATTAAGGTGTACTGACCTAAGTAATGGTTTTTCCAATCACCTCACAGGCATGTAAAAGCTGAACAATGAACATGGAAGACTGAATGATGCTTTTGAATTGTGGTGAAGAACAGTGAATATACCATGGGTGATCAGAAGAACAAACAAATCTGTCCTGGAAGAAGTGCAGCCAAAATGTTCCTGAGAAGAGATGATGCCAAGACTCTGTCTCACGTACTTTGGATATGCTATCTGGCATGACCAGTCCCTGGAGAAGACCAATCATGCTTGGTAAATTAGAGGGCTCACAAAAAAGACAAACACCCTCAACAAGATGGATTGACCATGACTGAAACACTGAGCCTAAACAGAGCAGCAATTGAGAGGCTGGGGCAGGACCAGCACTGTTTTGTCCTGTTGTACACGGTGTCACTGTGAGTTGGAACGACTGGAAGGCACCTAACAACAGCGACAATAGGTATAACCAGCTGAATGAGTGCTCATCCCCACAAAGGAAAAAGAAGACCTCTACGGTCATACCGTGATGGGGCCCCAGAGCTGCATCTCCACTCATGACCCGCTGGGTGATTGGGCCTCTTGGCATCAACCTATGTCCTTACCTCTATCTGGTCAATGGTTTCCTGATATTCCTTCTCCCGGGTTTTGAACAGGGACTCAGTATCTTTAATCACCTTCTCCAAACTGTCCTCCTGTTGCTGGGGGGTAGAAAGGGAAGCGAGGACAGGCCAACCAGGGAGGGTGGGGATAGGGATAAACCACAGGGCCAAGGCAGGGGTAAGAGAGAGAATCAGGTTAGAGGACACTGGAGAGAGACAAAACAAAGGACAAAGGAGATACAGGATGACAGCCACATAGAAGAAGGATCAGAGCGAGGGGTTAGGGAGAGGAGGAGGAAGGGTACCAAGCTGGAAGGGCCCTGAGGCCAGGAGGAATGGTTACCTCTCCCTGGGCCTCTGCCGCTGCCATGGCATAGCCTGAGAAATCCTCCCATAGCAGCAGGGTCTCCTCAGTCTCCTCCCAAGTCAGGCTGTCACAGTCGTCCTCAAAATCATACTCCCTCCTAAAGACGGAACCCAGGTGTCAAGGGGTGCCTGTGCCTGGAGGGGTTGCTGCTGGGGAGCTCCGGCCTCTTGTGGGGGTCTGGCTGCGGGGCTGCTGGGATGGGCCTGAGGGACTCACAGCTGGTTGAGCATGCGCTGCATCTCCTCGTTGATGCTGAGGGCTGTGCTCTCCTCCTCATCCCCATCGGGCTGGCGGGGCCCGTCACTCTCCAACAGGGAGGGGTCCTCCTCGCTGGCAGCCTTGCGCTCCCGCTTCCGCCCCCCCATGGATGGGACCTTAATGGGAAACAAGTGCAGAGACTACAGAGACGAGGCCGGGTGCATGAGGAGAAAGGGTGGGGAGTGGGGGAGGCCAGGTGCATGAGGAGAACAGGTGGGCAGGGGGATAGAGGGGGCAGCATCATGGGAGAAGCACGAACCAGCAGAAAGGGTGAGGCAGACAGAGAGAAAAGACACAGTTACCATGACAGGAACAGAAACACAGAGAGTTACCAAAGACAGACAGACAGACACAGGATGGTGACAAAGCTGTGGACTGAGAAGGAAGAAAAAGAAACAGAAAAAATAGAGCAGTAAGATAAGGGGAGAGATGGCTTGTTATTAAGATGTGTAAAATGGCTAAAGAGGGCTTGGGGTGGGTATGGGGATTTTTTTCCTAAACAAAGTATTTCAATGAAAAAATGAAACTAAAAAGAAAATTTTTAAGACTTCAAGGAAGAGAAGAATACAGTGTTTATAAATGAAAACTTGAACCACTTCCAGATACGGAAAGTCAGAAGGAAAAGGGATAGAAAGAAGTGAGGAAAAGCGAAAAAGAGATCAAAAGAAGGGGAAAAACAGCAAGGAAAATGGGAAGAGAAGAAGTCAGTGCTGGAAAGCCCAGTGGGTCACAACTGATAGCTAACCGACCTGGGTAGTTTAGAAACGGGGGCTGGGACATTAATAAGCTTGCATGAGATCAAAACTAACCAGTTTCTTCTGTGGAAAAAGCAAGAGAGAAGGTGAGAGGAAGAGAGAGAGGACAGGAAGCAGACAGAGGAGAGAGAGGGGAGGGAGAGATGGTGTTAGAGACAGCTTTCAAACCTTCTCTCCAAAGGCTGCTCCTCAAACCCAACCTAGGCCCACCTGGGTCCCCAGCTTCCAGGGTAAGGTTCTCCAGGAAGGAGGGCAGGTCCTGTGCCCCAGGCCAGCACTGGTGACATTTCTTCACCTGCTCAACCCTCCTCTGGGCTCAGGCACTGGGGCGTGTGGGCTGGAGAGTGCTAGGCTCCACCTGCCTCCACCCAGGGACCTCTCACCTGGAACATCTTGATCATATCCTCGCAGTTGCGCTGCTGAGCCACATCACAAAGTTTGGCGGTGATGTCGATGCGGCGGCAGATGTCCATGTCCACCTTCATGGCCTTCTCCTGGATCTTTGTGTCCAGCTCTGACAAGTTCTGTCAGGGGAACACAGGGAAGAGTAAGGCGGCATCCACACTCCAGACAGGGACCAACGTGGCCCCTGCTAGTTCCTCCTGCTCCTTCCAGTCTCCTGCCCCATCACCTGCCCCAGGAAGACATCTTCAGGTCCTCAGGGCAGAGCAATCTGCTCTGGCCAGAGACTGGGCTGCTCAGGAGGAAGGGAGACCCCAGGGGCACACAGGTTCTCCCTAGAGCTGGGCACTCTAACCAACAAAGTAGCAGCGGTCCTTATCCCCCAGTGCTTATGCTCCCAGGGAGAGACCCCACTGGGAAGGACAAAAAACAAGGGAAGTACTGAGATGATCTTAACACTCACAAGCACTATGGGCCCTAAGTAGGTGCTCAGCAATGCTCCAAGCGCATTATAATCTTTATAACCTTCCTGCAGCATAAATGCCTTCATTATACCCATTCCACAGAGGCCCAGAAAGGCTGAGGAACTCACCCCAGGCCAGCCACCCTGCTAGCTGTCTGCAGAGCTAGAATTTAGACAGAGGCAGCCTGGCTCTCCAATCTACACTTTTGCTAACTACTTAACAACTCTACAAGCCCTGACGGCACAATGAGCTAAGCGTTGGGCTGCTAACCAAAAGGTTAGCGATTCAAATCCCCAGGAGAAAAGATGAGGCAGTGTGTTCTTAGAAGCCCTATGGGGCAGTTCTCTCTGTCCCACAGGGTCTCTGTGAGTGGAGACTGACTCAGCTGTGGGTAACACCCTTAGTCCTGCTGGAGGCTATACTTGCCCTCCACTACACAGGAGGACTTTTTTCTTGAATTGGGAGTGGTAAAGGAAGAAACTGAAAGGATAAAGCGGGGGTGGGGTGGGGGGGTGGTAGATAGAGCCGGACAGGAAATCAATAGGCCACGACTTGGACTCTGTCTGGCTTGTTGAAGGCAGTTCTCATGACGGCCCCGCCGCGAGAAAGGCAGAGGATGGCTCACTCACATTGCTCATGAGCCCCTTGAAGACCACTAGCTCAGCTTTCAGCTGCTCCACCTTCATCGCCAGTTCTTCCTGGCAGGCATCTGCCTCTTGGGCTTCCTGTAGTCAGGGGGAAAACCCTCACATCAGGGACACTGCCAACACGAGAGATTAAGAAGACCAAAACAGGGCAGGGATAGTTCCAGGGACTGTGAGGACACCCAGGCAAGGGGGCAGTCACCCTCACCTCCTGGAGTTCCTTCACTTGCTCTTGCAGCTGCATGCGAACTGTGTATTCCTCTTCCCACCTGACAAACATCAGGGAGAACAAGGGAACCTGAGGATGGACCCCTGCCCTGCCCCCCCCCACCTCTCCAGCTCAGGAATAAGCCCCCCAGGTCTGGTTCCCTAAATGGGGAGGTGCTTGGACAGGCCTGTCTGGCAGGCCAACCAGTGCAGCTGCTGGCCTTGGCTTTAGCCCTCAGCTCCACATTTCCTGGCAAGTGCTGATCTAACTAGTTGGCTTCCAGAGCTAACCAGTTGCCTTCCCATCACCTCAGCCACTCACCAGGATCTATATTTAAGAGCAACTGCTGCCATTAGTCCCTTCCTGTGCCCAGCCCACTCAGCCCCAGTTCCAACCAGCTGTCTCCCTCCGGCCCATGCCAGACCACCAGGCCCGCCCAGCCCAGTCTCCCACCTTCTGTTGCACAGATCCGGACTCCCGCCTCCTGCCCGCACCAGAACAGAGCTCGTCTAGCCTGGTGCCCTGCCTCCTGCAGTACCATTTAACCCTGGAAAAGCAGCTGCAGGACACAGACCGCATCAACTGACTTGGTCAAGAGCCCAGGAGAAGATACACTCCCCACACACTCTAGAAACTGCCCACCCAGGCACCCCCCACCAGGTAAGCCACAGAGGAGTGACAGAGCTGCCCCTACAGCCAGAAACTCCCAGACGCATTAAAGCAACCAGCAACAAGAACCTAGTATTTCGGAACACCCAAACCCATGGGTCCGAAACCAGGAAGCAGATATGAGTCTGACAAGATGCCTCATTAATGCAGTGGATGAGAATTAGAAGTAGAATCTCCTAGGATTTCTGGGACCTGGCATCTAGAATAGAGAGACTGACTACGCCACAAGTAGATTAGAAAGCATATTGGGCCCCTGGGCAGGGTAAGTAGGCCCCTGAACTAGGATTTGTAACAATTACAATCCATAGTAAACCAATATATAATCTATTCTATCAAATAGACTGAAGAGGGTTGGTAGGACTAAATCCACTGCTATGGATTGGGCTCTGCCATTTCAGGACCCTCCAAGGTCAGCTGGGACAACAGAATGTCTTACACCCTACTCATAAGAGGCCATTATTCTGGTCACATTCTGGAAAGGCTTCTTCCAGTCTGAGAAAGGAGGGGAACTGCACTAAAAAAAAAAAATCCTCAATATAAACAAGGTGATTAGAAAGCAGGAAAGAACACAGCAAGAAAATAAAAATCCAAGCAAATGGATTCTGTGAAACAGGATTAAATCCTTTTCTCCCTTGCCCTCCATGTGTTTTCTTGTTTGACCCTCTCCTCTGTCCCCTGGGCTCTAGCTCTGGTCCCATCTCCCTTTGCTCTTCTGGGCCCCTCACCCGCAGCCGCACTGCAGTATTCCTAATAATAACTCCTGCACATCACCCTGGCTGCCCCTCCCGCACTGGCAAGAAGGTGGCTCAGCAACCACCCTGCCAGTTTTGTCCTGCAGCTCAGATCCCTGCCTTCCTAGCCCCCTTGCCCACCCTCCCCTGCTGGTTCCATGTCCTCCTCCCTTTTGCTCTGGTATTCTACTTCAAATGGTCAAGGCCAAGGAAGGGCCCTTGTAACATCCAACAATTTCTTTTCTTAGATATAAAACCCCAATCTCTGGGTCTTGATTTCTCCATCTAAAAAATGAAGGCACAGGATTCTGTGCCCTCAGGCCCCTGAAGTCTGTAAGTCCCTGGATGAAGAAAGCAAGGTTGACAAGGTGACAATGACCCTGGATAAGATGCAGGGGCAGGGAACATTGTTTGATATGGTAACCCAACAAAATCAGGTCAAAACCTAGATTAAAAAGTTCATTCAGGATTTTTTTCTTTTTAATTATAGGATAAAAACATGAAGACAAACAATTTGGGAGGTCAATAGAATTCTATTTGTTCTACAGCCAAACTTTTGCACTATACATTTGGACTTCTACTCCAATCTGCTCTCACGCAGTTCCCTTAACATGGGCAGAATGGGAAAGGGATTTCCATGTATTCAGCAGTAACAAACACCTCTCTTTAATTAGGGCCACTGGAAAAACTGAAGCTCAAGAAAGAAGCCCACCCCCGGTCAGACAAGGTAGGGGAGATGAAAAGAGAACCCAGGAGGCCTCAGCTCCTTCCTACTTAAGTGCTCTAGCTCACCACACACTTCCCAGGCTAGAGACAGTACGGAGGAATGGTGTTGCTCTAAAGAGAATAGAACCAGGGCAGGGGATCTCGGATGGAAGCCTGGATAAGTGCCCAGATCACATACCACCAGGTTCTAGCTACAGGACCTTCCACATAGCAAATGTGCTGCAGAGCAATGAGCTAATCACACACACACACACACACTCAAGGAATATCTCTTTGCTGTCTGGACAGCTGGACCATAGGCAAACACTCTTTCAGTTTTAAAAAAAGTCCTTGAGAAGAGCAGTTGTTCCTGTGGTTAGGAGTATATTTCTGAACTGTCCACGTTCCTTTGCTGAGTGCATGAATTAACCTCTGCCAGGGTAGGCTGGTTCTTGGTGAGACCTGAATGGTGGGTTTAGGACAACTGAGAGCCCCTGGGACGTTTAAAGAGCCCTAAAAACACAACGGTACTCAGCTGCTAATGCAAAGGTGGGTGATTCGAATCCACCAACTGCTCCACAGGAGAAAGATGTAGCAGTCTGCTTCCTTAAAATTGTTGTTGTTGTTATGTGCTGTGGAGTCGGTTTGGACTCATAGCGACCCTGCACAGGGTTTCCGAGGCTATACTTCTTTATGGGAACAGAAAGCCTCATCTTTCTCCTGCAGAACAGCTTAAGATTACAGCCTTGGAAATCCTATGGGATAATTCTGCTCTGTCCTTTAGGGTCACCATGAATTAAAATTGACTCAATGGCAGTGGGTTTGTTTTTTGGCTTAGGTAAGAACAGTATAAAGAGCTCTGGTAGCGTAGTGGTTACGAATCGGGCTGTGAACCTCAAGGTCAGCAGTTTGAAACTACCAGCTATTCCACAGGAAAAAGGTGAGGCTTTCTGCTCCCGTAAAGATTTACAGCCTTGGAAACCCTGTACAGGGTCGCTATGAGTCGGAACTGACTCCACATAACATCAACAAGGACAATATACCACAGACAACTAAGGAACCCAACATAAGGATAGAACTCAACCTTCAAAAGTTCTCTGATCTGGCAGACTCAGGCAGGGTACGGATCCCTGAAGGTCACGCCCCTAGACCCAGCTGTAATTTCTCAGAACATTTAACCAACCCCACCCTCTCCAGATCAGTAACCTATCTTGGCTACATTGGCTTTCAGGGCTAGTTTCTAGACCTACCACAAGGGGTCATTATAGCAGGAGTGAGTGACTGCCAGTGTTAAACTTGAAGGCCTGCACACCAAAGCCTCCTTGTTGTTTTCCTATTCCTTCTCAACCAGGGAACTGATGACAGAGTCTAGAGTCTGGTTGTACTCATGGCTGTCGTCATGGTCTGCTCTTTGCCACCTTCAGGTGTCCACTTGGTACATAGCCACCACTCTGGTATCATCACATCTATGCCCATCATCCCCTGTGCCACCCCCACTGGATTCCCCTGAGAAAGTCAAAGCCTCCTCAGAATGCACTGGGTCTGCCCCACCTGCCTTGCAGCCATTGGTTATGTTCATATTCCCAGCTGCCTCCTGCTCAGTCTCCCCACTTTGGCTCTTGACCCTTTCAAGTTCTTCCAGCTCCCACAAGCCCTGTAACAACCACCAGGCCCCATCCTTTACCCTAGGAAATTCCCTTTATTCTCTGTTCGCATTCTTTTGACCTCTGCCAAAGAATGCCTTCAGGTCTCCAGAGCCTTTCCTGTGGAAGTGGGGCAGGGACCCAGTGTCCACTGACCTTCCTTACTGTGGGAACTCCTGAGCTGTGGCAGGACCATTCTTGTGCAGGGCCTAATGTCACCTGAGTCTCCCCAATGAAAGCTACACTCTTTGCCTCTTATTTCTGGTCAGTATGTGGAGCTTATTTCCACAAATTGCTCTGAGGGTGGAGAATGATGGAGATACACAGTACCCCAGCAGGTAACTCCCAGACAGCAGCGGCCCTTTCACAAAGGTTCAAACACTGCAGCCTCAGAAGAGACAGAAAGCAAAGCCAGGAGAAAGAAGCGCCCCACAATGTTCTGCTCCTGGAATCTTTCTTCCAGTCACAAGTCTTACTTCTGTATCCTCTGTGGATTCTACTTTTCCAGGATCCAACTGCATCTACTTCCAAGCCCCTTATTCTACAGCACAAACTTTATTTACTCTTAGTTCATCTCTCCCAGATCCTTGGGTCCTACTTGCTCCCCTCTTCTGAGCCCACACCAACCCCAGCCTTGCTCTATGTGGCCTCTACCCCTCCTTCCCAACCACTGCCGTTGTCTTCTCCTTCAAGGCTCAACATACCTCCGCTTGTACTCGTCCCGCTCCCGCTTCACTTTGGCCAGCACGTTGTAAAGGGCGCGGATCTCTGGAGTGATAGTGTCGATCTGGACGCCCACCCCGTCGGGGTGCACCCATGACAGGCCAGGCCCTTGCACCAGGGTGGGCTCTCGGCCAGGTCCAAGCCGGCGGGCGTGAGAGAAGGACCAGATGGTGCCCGGCATGAAGCGGGTGGACGAGGAGAAGGTGGTGGAGCTGGCGGTGGCGAGGGCGGTGGAGGTGGAGGACGAGTGGCCGGTCGCTGAGGGAGTCAGGGGGCCGGCGGGCGAGCCCAGCACCCGCGCTGACGGGGTACAGACAGCGGCCGGCCGGGCGCCCAGGGGCAGCCCCAGCGGCCGGATGGGGCTGATGAAGCCAGTCTGTACCGCCTGGTCGCGGCGCGCCAGGCTCCGCCGGCCCTGCTTACCATCTTCCAGCGCCTGCTGTAGCTGCTTCTCCAGCAGCCGGTTCCGGCGCTCCAGCTCATGTACCTTGGCCAGGAAGCAGCGGAACCGGAGGTTCAGGGTCTTGAGCACGTTGATGTTGGAGCCCAGGTCATTGCGGAGTGCCATGGCGGCTGGGGGCGCCGTTCCCGGCCCGGGCGGTGAGTAGGCAGCGGGGCCTGCTGGGACGAGTGGCGCCGGAGCCAAGTCCCCTCCCCCAGTAAAGTGATCACCTCCCAGAGGGTCCCCCAGTGGCCCGGCAAGACCCTGCTGCTCCTGCTGTAGAAGGAAGAGGTTGGGACCGAATAACGGATTCATGGCTGCGCCTTCTGCTGGGAGATGGAGACCAGTGCAGGAGCAGGGATGGAGGGTGAGGGAGAAAAGCCAATGAAACGGCTGGGGGACATGGTGCAACCAATCAGACGGCTCCGCGAGAGGGGCAGAGGTCAGGGGGAGAAAAGGGAGGGCAGAGAGGAAGCCAATGAAAAGCTCTAATTGGAGACATGGACCTGGATCTTTCCGCGTCTGAGGAAGAGGAGCACTGGTAGCCCCCTGCCCTCAGAAGATCCAAACCCAGGCCCTGCTTGAATTCAGCCAGGGTAGTACAGGGACATAAGAAAACAGGACCCTCATGCCCCAATGGAATACAGTGGCAGGACATTCATATTCCTACTTCTCTTTTGCCTTAAGCCCCCAACTTTGAGTCTTAACTCCCCTCTTCTTGGGTCCTTGAAGTTACCAGTTAAACTGTTCCTTCAGAGGATCCCATCCCATCTTCCATCCTAAAGCAGAAAGCCAGTACCCTACCAACCCCAATACCCCACCACCACCACACAGGAGCCAAAGGTTGTAAAATGTATATTAAATTTCATGTGTATACACAATGGAGAAACCATCCTTGCAGAGGTAAGAGTTCCAACCCAGTGACAATGGCAATGAGCCATCCCAGTCTACTTTTCAACCATCCTCTAAGACAACAGTGGGTGGCTGTTGCCACTGGACTAAGATTTCCTCCTCTTTGCTGGTGGGGGCCGGCTGGGACTGAGGGAGTACTGAGTGGTGGGAGCATGAGGACACTTGAGCATGCCATTCTGTTTCCGGAAGGCAGCTTTCTTGAAAGACTGCTCTGGCAACTGCTGCTTTACCTTCTTGGCCCCTTTGGCCTTCCCAAGGGGCTGACCATGGTCCTCAGGCTTAGGGGCAGCCTGGGTCTTGGAGGATAGCACAGCAGGTGTTTCTGAGTCTGTGCCCTTGGGAGGGGTATCTGGCTTCAGAAAGGCAACTTTCTTGGGAGTTTGCCGTTTAGGTGATCGCTGCTTTGGCTTCCCAGTCACCTTTGGTTCCCTGATGACTTCAGCTTTTTCAGCTGGTTGACTGCTACTACCCTGGAACTTGGGGGATGGTTGAGCCTTTGTGACAGAAGGGACAGTGGACAATTCTGAGTCTGTCCTTTTGGAGATGCCATTCTGCTTTTGGAAGGAGGCCTTCTTGGGATATTTCTGTTTCTGCAACTTCTGCTTTGCCTTCTCAGACCCTTTGGCCTTTTTGGTAGGCTGGCTGCTATTTTCAGACTTGTAGGCAGATTGATCCTTCAGGTCAGGTAAATCAAGGTTTGTAGTGTTGGCTGTTGCAGAATCTCCTGGAAAATTCAACAGATGGCATGAGAAAATGGGCCTCATCACTAAACAATCTTCATCCTCAGGGGAGACAAGTAGAAGTTATTAATATAGGAACTTCCTACTGACTGCCACTTAACCAAGTGTTCCATATAACAAGGCCAGCACCGAAGAGGAAACCACCTACACTCATACCACTCAATATGACCTGGCCTTTACTCAAATACTATTTAAAAAAAAGGCAACCTGATTGAGGAGTTATCCATCCTTGGGTCAAAAGGTTTCAAGAAGCTACTCCCCTCATTGAGGACAGCAAGTAGCAGTACACACTTTTTTATTTTAAGTTTTTATTGTGAATTGAGTGATAGTTTACATGTGAAAACATCAGCTTTACATTCATTCTATCGTATTTCATTTCATTGCAATGATTACAATTCCCCCATGCATCATCATTCAAAAGCATTCAAAAGCATTCCCTTTCTGTGTTTTTGTTGGATGTACACCCAAGCACTCAGGAACACATAACCATTCAAACAACCAAAAGGCATACCCTGCAAGCATGCCCCCTCTGGCCGTCAGCACACAGCCCCTCTCCCTCCTTGAGTCTAGAGTCCCCAGCCACTCTTAGGAGGAGGTGAATACATTAAAACACTGGGTTTTGTTTTTTTAATCAAAGACGACAAATATTTTTAAAATGTTAATTTTGATGCAATGCATAAAAAAATAAAGCATACCCACAGCAACTAGAAAGAAACTAATCAAGTATAAATGAGTATTGACATACTAAATATGTTATTTTAAGTTACGTCAAATTTTATTATTAAGGTTTTTACTCTGTTAACAATCAGATAAGGCTCTTGTAAAGGGCATTATTTAATAAGAAAAAAAAAATCAACTCAATAAATTATGCAGTTTGTATTCAGAAGCTCTTCTCTCCCACTTCCAACTCAACTCAGGGTTATATATACCAGCGTGCTGACACGTGTGTTTAAGAAAACCCCACCCTTCCCCTGCAGATCCGGGCCAGGCTCCTGAAGATGGCTGAAAAATCATCTGCAATTAGTGTACTCTGAGAACTGCTGAGAACTCTAAGAAGCTCTGTGCCAACCCAGTGCAAAGAACGCTGGACCAGCAGAGGGTATTAAACCACTCAGTTCACGCTAGGCCAGGAAAGAAAAGAAACCACAGCCCTCAATTGGAATGCACTTTATGCTGAACAACTGCAGCCACTTGGTAGAACACATGGCTCCTAGCCACATGCACTTTATTATGCCCCAACAACATTCAGGGCTCAGGAACAACTAGAGTTGGGATGAAAGGTAGAAAGATCACTTACCTGTCTGCGACTGGGGAATAGAATTGGAGAACTTCTTAAACTTGGCAATAAAGAAACCATCCATATTGTGGGTATGCGGGTAGAAGCGACGGGTAGAACGCAGAGTGGGGTGGAAGCGCCTTTCTCGAAAGCGGGTAAAACCTTCCTGGCCAAAGTCTAGACCCGTGGGCACCAGACGCACATTCCTCTTTTTCAGAGCGTAATCTACCACCCACTCATTCTCTTCCACCTGGACATGGTAGGGAGAAATCCAGAAGGAAGGGAAGCAGAGTGAGGGCTGAAGGAAGCCTCTGAAGGGCAGCTAGTCCCCCAGTCCTCCCCTCCCATACCAGAGGCCTCACCATGATGGAACAGGTGCAGTAGACGAGGTAGCCTCCTGTCTTGGAGGAGGCATTCACTGAGTCAATAGCACTCAGCAGCAATTCCTTCTGAAGGTGAGCACAGCGCTGGATGTCCTTCTCATCCTGTCCCAAGAAGAGACCCACGGGGTTCAGAATTTCAAAACGTACCCTCAGTAGAGGAGTGAGCTACTGACTGTTAGGAATGTTCCCTTACCTCACACTCTTACTCTACAAGGTCTAATCAAGGCCCCTCACTGGCCCCACCAACCAACTCCTCACCTTGTTAGTCTTCACAGCTGGATCCTTGGAGATGACCCCAGTGCCACTGCAGGGGGCATCCAGCAGTACTCGGTCAAAGCCACCCACCACCTGGGCGAAAGGGTAGGTTCATCGTAAGTGTTCTGCAACTTACCCAGCATCATTCATTTCCTAGAGGTATGTAAAGTCAAAGTCTCAGGAGGGTCACAGAGGTGCGGTCTGAAAACCCACCTTAGGGAACTGGCGCCCATCATAGTGGCTGATGATGGTGTTGGTGACTCCCAACCGATGCAGGTTGCCCACCACACTCTTGAGTCGCTCAGCATTGGCATCATTGGCAAGGATCACACCTGTGTTCTTCATCAGCTGGGCTAGAGTGAGGGAAGAAGGGCCACAGTGCTGACCAGTCAGCTCCCCTACTACCCACCCGCATCAAGAAGTCCATAGGTGAAGTCTCCTCACTTCAAGGCCAGACTTCACTCTTCAAGAGTCTCATTCCTCACTGCAGACTGTATAGGTCTACCCCGATCTCCTGCCCCCCCAGTGAGAAGCCACCCTGCTGATCTGATTTTACCATTTTGACTTAAGAGCTTCTTTCTGTCCTAATAGGTGAAATTACTTCTTTGAAGTGGTAATAGCTTAATAATGGTTATGACTGCCTGGTAAGTACTGAACACTAAAACAAAGACATTACACTTCAATCATCACAATCCAAACAATTACAGCCCATTTTACAAATGACAAGAGTATCAGGAGCTTGCCTTTGGTTATCTGGGTACAAAGTGGCATATGTGGGATTTGCACCCAGCAGATCCCACAGCATGTGTTCCTCCCTGCTCCACTTTCAAAAGTGGAGCCGGATGAATCCTTATCACACCTGTCCTCCTCATACCTATGTAGCTGGTCTTCCCTCCAGGGGCACAACACATGTCCAGGACCCGCTCATGTTCCTGGGGTGCCAGGGCCATGACAGGCAACATGCTGGAGGCTCCCTGCAGCATATAGTGGCCGGCCAGGTACTCAGGAGTAGCACCTGTGGAGAAGGACCCACCTGTGATGCACCTGTGATGTGCCGGGACAGGCACTGGGGCAAGAGGGCTATTGGGCAGGGGATAATTACCAACGGGCACTGAAGAATCATACACCACTAGTCCAGTCTTTGACCACTTGCCCAGGGGATCCAGGTTAACCCCACGATTGATTAAAGCCTGAAGGTTAAGAAGACGAAGAATTAAAAACCTCATAGGGTGTTATGCCCAAGAAGGCATGAAACCAAGGTCCTACCAACAGATGTGAGGCACCCTAACTCTTGGAGACCTTATTCAGAACATAAACATCCCATCCCATGAGACCCTTTTTTTTTTAACCTCAGGCTCCTAACTCAAGGCTTTAATTCCATCAAAAGCAGACTATCAACTCCTACCCTTTTATTTCCTGAAAGTGACTCATGAGGCTTCTTAACCACCCTAAAATTTAATGTTTTTGATTGTTGTTGTTGTTAAGTGATGTCAAATTGTTTCCGACTCATAGCAACCCTAAATAAGGTTTCCGAGGAGTGGCTGGTGAAGCTTGAACTGCCGACATTATGGTTCAAACTGACCTTGCAGTCCAGTGCATTATCCTGCAGTACCAGACCAGGAATCCATGTTTTTGGCTAAAGCATACTAAAGGTAATCACTGCGTTACCTTCACACCAGGAGATACTCAACACAGGAACTCATCACTGGCCTTATTTAAATCAAGGGTCTTTAATCTGGGGCCCCTGAAATGCTTGAAAAAATTAGCTTTCACCTGCTTCTCAATGATCTAAAATGCACACAACTCCATTCAGTTTCTTTCTAAGGCTGTGTTTTTACCCTGCTTTCAACCCAATTGCAGAGAACAGAGAAGGTGCAGGGATGGGGTTTCTCAAAGAAACCACAGAAGCCCTAAACCAATAAATGCTTTCATACTAAGATCTCATCTAGTCAGGGCACAGCGGTGACTCCAAACCTCAAAACCCAGCCCTCACCTGAGCAAGGTCCCGGCGCCGGGTTTTCAAAGTATTGGTTCTGAGTGTGATGGGCCGAGGCACTTCATTAGCTTCTAAGAACTCTACAAGCTGCAGAGAAAAGATATGAGGTTGGCCAAGGAGCTCAGTCAGAAAGAGAAGAGAACAAGGGGGCTGGCTTGTTCTCTTCCTTACACAGGATGAAAAAGAGAGATGAGAAAAGAAAAGCCAAAGTTAGACAGGCAATCCAGTACCTCCGACAGAGGAAAGAGGTCCATGAGCTTGCCAAGCAGGAAATCTCCATAAGAGTAATAAGTAGCCAGATCCTTCTGAAGCCGGTTCAGATATTCAGAACGAGACCGACCTTCCTCCCGCTGAGAGCTGAAATCTCGTAACACTCCCACGATATCCTGGATCCGCTTGTGAACTCGTTGTAGATCTGGAGCCTGGACACGTAGGCCTGTTAAGGAACTGTTTTATACTGCTCTCTAGGTGTCCTGGTGTGGCGCTGTGGGTTAATGTGCCAAACTGCAAAGCCGTTTGAACTGCAAGGTTGGCGGTTCAAGCTCACCAGCTGCTCTTCGGAAACTCTATACAGGGTCACTATGGGTGGGAACCGACTCCACAGCACTTAACAACAACAACAAGGGTTTACAAGTCCCTCCTCCAAAGCACCCTCTCCCTCCCCTTCACCAGGGAATGGAAGGATATCCTGCTCCATCTCTCCAGCAGGGGGCAGCAGAAATGGCTCTTCCTCATCCACATTAATTTGTAGGCCTCCTTCGATCTCATCATCCTTGGTGTGGGGGCTTGACTCAGAGGACACTTTTTCCTTTTCTTCCTCTTCATCAGTCTCTTCCTCACTCCACTGGTCCCTAGAAACAGACCCCAAACCAGATGATTCACAGACCAAAACGCCCTCCTCCATCCTTACAGCTTCCCCCCATCCAGATGCTACCCATTTTCCACCTGTTTATAAAACTCACCCTGCATCAACTTCCTGGGCCTTCTGCTTCCGAGCCGCCCTTTCAATGGGCAGCAACTGAAGAGAGGGGAAAAAAAAACACACACACACACACTGGCTATCAAGTCGATTCCAACTAAGGGGCAGCCCAGGTGGGTCAGTGCAGAACTGTGCTCTGTATAGTTTTTAGTGACTGATTTTTCAGCAGTAGATTGTTAAACCTTTTCTGAACAGGTGCTTCTGGGTACATTAGAACCACCAAACTTTTGATTAGCAGCTGTGGGGTTGACCTTTTGCACCACCCAGGCAGACCAAAATAGACTGCTGTTGTTGTGAAGTGCTGTTGAGTAGATTCCGACTCATAGCGACCCTGTATAGGGGTTTCTGAGGAGCAGCTGGTAAACTTGAATTGCCGACCTTGCAGTCTGGCGCATTAACCCACAGCGCCACACCAGGACTCCCCAAAATAGACTAGGCCTGGTAATATAAAGTCTGACTTTCCAGCGTTTTATCATTTTCTAGATACAAATGTAACAACCTCAGATGGAACTATGGATGATTAAAGAACTGAATGTAAAACTGACACAATGTTAAAACTAAGTGGCAGACTAGAGGGGATTGTTATACTGTTCTACCACCCTATATTTTCCATATCTATCACAAAAAGCTTGAAGATACCCATTTGTATGCGGGGGAGCATGATGGCTCTTTACCATAAACACTGGACAGAGAACCACAAGGTTGTGGGCTCATTTATCAGGAAAGATTAAAATTGCCCTTAAGTATCTATTTTATTTTATTTCCTGCTAGATTTACGCAATATTTTCCACATGGTTAAACCCAACATATTTGTAAGTTTGTGTCTTGTTTTTTTTTCTCACTCACTTACCAACAAGCGTTTTCATAAACAAATACAATGGCCAAATATTAATTCATCAAGCACATGAATCATAACTAACTTATGCATATTGGATTTTATGGAAACTTTCATATATCTAATATTTTTGGCACTCTAGGATAAGCATTGAACTGCTAACCACAAGGCCGGCAGTTCAAACCCACCAGCCACTCCTCAGAAACCCTATATAGGGTCGCTCTGAGTTAGAACCAACTCAATGGCATTTAACATTATAATCATCCACATGGTGGTTGGTTATGTACCACCAAATCAGTTCCAACTCACAATAACCCTCGGATAGACTTTCTGAGCTGTAAGTTTTTACGGAAGCAGAAAGCCTCATGTTTCTCCCATGGAGCAACTGGTAGATTCAAACTACTGACCTTGTGGTTAGTAGCCCAGCTCATAATCCACTAGGCTCCTTATCATCCACAAAGGTACCTACAAAACTGAGAGAATTAACTGTATGGCGAAAGGGGCCCTGGGAGAGGGGTGTAAATGGGGGCTTTCTTGTTTTATTCTATGGAATTATATATTGTTTGCATTATATGTCATTATGAAGTGCCATCGAGTCGGTTCTGACTCATACCAACCCTGTATAGGGTTTCCAAGCAGCAGCTGGTGGGTTTGAACTGCTGACCTTATGATTCGAAGTCCAGTGTTGATGCTACAGCGCCACACCAGGAGTCCACTAATACATTAATATACTAACTGTAAAATAAATAACTTCTCACACCTCAGTAAATAAATCTTTGCCCAGATTTTGTATTATTTTCCTAAACAGAGAATTACGAAGCCCAAAGGAAGGTGTTCTTACATACCAAATACTTTAAAAGGTAAAGATCCATATTTCTGAATATCCACTGAATCTCACCTCTTCTCCCTCCTCGGAGTCGGAGCTAGCTCCATAGTCATCTATCATATCAGCATCACTGTCCTCAGAGCCCCAAAGGTCCCCCTGGTTCACCACACCATCTTCTTCAGAGTCTTCCTCATCCTCTTCTTCATCACTACTGTGGGATGGTGCTCTGCGCTTCCTGCCTTGAGCAGCATTATATAAAGATGGGGCTCCCTTCTTAGCAGGTATCTGCACAGCTCCTGCAGAGATGATACATAGGGATTTGAAGAATCCTGGACTGGTAACAGCCAAGCACCCCTGAAACCTGCATTTTTACTCCTTAAAAATGTCCTCTGGTTGTTCCTTTCACCCTGACAGCAAGTCCTTCCCTACCGAGACTCTGAAGACCCCTCATGTACCACCCAGTTATTTTTACTGACCTTCTAGTAGCTTTCCAGACGATGTTTTAGTCCCAGGAGATTTGTTGGATTTAGGGGCTTCAGCAGAGCCCAATCTCCTTTTGGCCGCCCTGGAAGTTATAAGGGTTAAGAAAAGGGAACATTACTTCCAGGCTCTACCATTTCCCATCCTCACTCAGACACGCTGAGAACCCTAAATGAGCCCACTCCACTAATTTATCCCACATGGCTCAAGATAAACAACACCAATTTAATCTTATACAAGCCTGGACACATACACTCACCTCTTTCTAGCCCGACTAGACAGCCTCTTGGAATTTTCATCACCATCTATTTAAAATGCAAAACAAAATTTAAAAGGCAAAATACGAGATTACAGGGGAAATGAGAAAGAAAAATAGAGAAGTAAAGGTGGGTAGACAATTAGTATATCGACACTTTGCACCAGGAACTGGATAAAAGACACAAAGATGATGAAATATTCATTTGGTTGTTTATCCACCAAATGTCTGGACTCCCAGATGTCAGTTTCAACAAGCAGCACCAACATTCTGAGAATTCAGATTCAAGCCATCTTTTCCTCTGCGCTTTCCTTTATTCAATTACAAACTGCCCTAGATTTTACCTGCTCAAATGCTGTTTTTCATATATTCTCCAGGAAATACAAAGTTGAATCGCATACCTGTCATTTAATAACTGTATGCAAATTATTTAGCCTCTCAATTTTTATTTCCTCAACTGTAAATCAAGACAACAGTTCCCCCCCACCTTCCTCCCCCGCCACTCTTAAGTAAATATAAGTGATGTAATGTATCCCAAAGGTCCAGTACAGTACCTGACACTTGCACCTCAATAAATCAAGTTCTATTCAAAGTTCGAAACTATCAGCTGTTTCGCAAGAAAAAGATGAGGCTTTCTGCTCCCATAAAGATTTACAGCCTCTGAAACCCTGTACAGGGTGGCTATGAGTCGGAACCGATTCCACAGCACATAACCACCAACCACCATTCAAAGTTGGAAAAAAACTACCTGTCAATCCTCCCTCCCACCAGTTTGCCATGATGCAGTCAAGCAGAGTACACATCATTGTGGGAACCAGATGGAGATGTTTCCCATCTCCATCCCTTGCACAATGCAGCTCCGAATGGAATTTACTCCTGCCAAAACGTTTACTGTTTTTCAAAACCCAGCTTCTTAGCAAGACTTTTTTCTTAATTCTCATTAACTGCCTGGCCCCACCTGTCCTCTGAAATTTCACAAGATTAAACTGTATCTCCCCTTGCATGCGTACTTGTGTCCCTGTGCCATCTTTCCCTAAGATCTAAACTTTGACACATTGAGTGTTTTTCATTCATTCTTATTTCCTAATAACTCATACAAAGAAGATTCCATTGAAGCGGACAGTGAAGATGTTAACCTAAAAAAAAAAAAACACCGCAGGACGTTAAGATATAAGTGAGAAAAATGGCTCAAAAGCCGGGGGTCCAGGTGACCACAACTGACCCTTATCTGCAGGTAAGAATCTGGCAAGCTCTGTCTCGGCACCCTTCTGTTTGCGGGCTTTTCGGCCCGGCCCACGCTTTTCCTTCTTCGTAGGGTCCAACTTGCGCCCCATGGTGCTGAAGAAAAATCGGAAACTGTAGAGTCTTGTGTGTTGTAAGGAAGAGCCGCAGGACGCAGACGTAGTGTATTACACTAGGAAAATGCACCGCCTCGACCAGAATCTCAGCTCTCAGCACCGGCGACAGCCATCGAGGCCAGGCCAATCCCGCCCTGGAGCCCCACGCCATTTGTATTGGCGCTCCCATTCCCTACGCCCCAGGCCCGTTCGGTGCCGTAGCCTTTCTTACCTCAACTTCCTTTAGACCCACCCGAAAATTCTGCTCACCCGAAAGCGGGTTCAGCCAAAGACTCCCCTTTGTAGTAGGCACCACACTCCACGTGCACCACGGAGTTAGAATTGGAACGTCAGTCTAAGCGGAAACAATTTACGCAGGCGCACAGAGCTCTCTCAGCCCATGGCACCACCTCTTCCGGTGGCCTCCAGTTGGCTGCTGGATCCGGAAAGTTAGCTCCTGGCGGTCTCAGGCGGCGGCATGGCCTGAGACAATTCGGAAGCTGGGTGCACAACTTAGTTCCCGGCATTGGCTTTTTTGCCTCATGATATTTAAACTCCGGAAAAACGGGTGCCTACGCGCTGCCTTCTTCCCCTCTAACCGGCCCGTTGCAACCATAACCTCTTCCTGACATCCAACCGCCCTATGCCCGTCGATTCTGAACATCATTTGAGTTTGTTGCGACCCTGTAATAGGGTTTCCAAAGAGCAGCTGGTGTGCTTGAACCGCCAACCTTGCAGTTCAAACGGCTTTGCAGTCTGGCACATTAACCCACAGCACCACACCAGGACTCCCTCCCTATACATCATCATGGAACCCGCTTATTTTTTTCCTGCCCCCAAACCTGATTAGGAAACCCCCTTCCATATCCACCTGCTTGGCCCCACTCAGATTAAGGATTCACTCTGCCTACCCTCACTTGTGGAGGGCAATAGGGAGACATGTTGCATGTGTTCCATACAAGTTCCTTCCTTCCTTCAAATAGACACCAACGTAGTGATTATTAGGTCTCCAAAACTGTTTCAAGCACTTCACTGATTTGTTTGCCCTAAATGTCATCCAGATTGCAGAGATTTTTTTTGTCCATTTGAGCACGTAGGGGTTAAGCCCCATCCAGTAGGTTCCAACTCAGTGACCCTGTGTAAATTTCTGAGTTGCAGCTGGTAGGTTTGAAGGCCCAACCTTGTGGTTGGTTAGCAGTCCGGTGTGTATCCTACAGTGCTACACCAAAACTTCACTGGCTTAATCTCCACAAAATTATGAGAATGCTTATTTTTTACATATCAGAAGGCAGACTTGAATAAGCTCCCAAAAGATAACAGCCATTAAAAATTCCATAGGGCGATCATTCTTTCTGAAACCATGGGGTCTGCATGAGTGAGAATGGGCTGGACAGGCAAATGTTTTTTTTCCTCCATATAAGAATTCTGCAGGCCAGAGTAGTTACACAACTTTGTTGTTAAACACCATCAAGTCAATTGGGTCTGAGTTTGAACTGCCACACGCACGTTGTGGTCCAGCACTTATCCTACAGCGCCACACTAGGGTTCCAACTTTGGAATCTTTCTCCACAGGTAGTCATCCTAGTGGCACAGTGACTGAACATTTGGCTACTAGCCAAAACGTCAGAAATTCAAACTTACCAGCTGCTCTGTGGCACATAGTAGAGGCAGTCTGCCTTAGAAACCCTATGGAAGATTATATTATTCTAGAGGGTTGCTTGACCTGAAATTGACATGGGCACCACCTGCACACAGACATAACATATCTCTTTCATGGACTATCAGAATGCAAGGTAACTCCCACTTTCAGATGCATTTGCCAGGGCTCCTGTGATTCACACTCATCCACCTGCACCCTACACCCACACTGAACCAGAAAGCACTAAAATACAAGGAAACTTTTATTTTTAATTTTCATCAAGAAATTTGCTGTGGTTTTTTT